TACCCCCCCCATCCCCAAAAGTTTCTCAGCGGATTTGGGCTGTACTCAGCAAGCGCAGTACAGCCCCCAACTCAGAGTTTTAAAAAAATCAGTGGATGGTTGTTTTCTGACTGGTCGGCAGACCGCCGACCGGTCGGCCCTACTGGTCGGCTGCAATAAGGTCAGCGGTCGGCAGGGGTGCAACCCTGCACCCTATATATATCCTGCCTGATACTCTAGCCGCGAAGATTCACTGACAAACGCAAAAGCTGTGACATTCCTGCCAACATATGCCATATCTGATGGGCGTTGATGTCATTCCTTTAGGTGAAATCATATGCGATGGATGGCGGCATGAGGAGTTTTTTGAGCTGCCTAATGCTTACGACTCATGGCTTATGTCCCTCTCTGGTTGGCTTCTCCAGGTGCAGGAGGTTGATGTGCTGTGTGAGCGAGTGCGCTTGAAGATGCTGCCGGCGGAGAATCAGCACACCCAGCCAAACACAGGCCTTCTTATCTGGCACTCAGCGCCGGCGTTAGCCATGTTCTTGTCTGTTAACCCGGCGCTCATACATGACAAGGCCGTCCTTGAGCTGGGATGCGGCGCTGCCGCTCTCAGTTCGTTCATCGCGTCAAAATATGCGCGAAGAGTTGTTGCGACGGATGGCGACAGGGAGACAATGGCTCTCGTCAACGAGAATGTGCTGATGAACCAGGACGGTTTCCCCGTTGCGAAGATTGCCTGTCAGCGACTGCAATGGGGAAACTGGGATGATGTGCAGTCCGTAAAGTGCCAGACGCTTTGCGGTGAAGAAGACGGAGGTCGTCACTTCGATGTGGTCTTGGGGTCTGATGTGGTGTATGTGGCGGAGGCTGTTCCATTGTTGTTCAAGACCGCAAGAGCATTACTAACGGATGGCGACAGTTGGGTGGCGGACTTAAGCGGAGCAAACGAAACACAACAACGCACGCTGAGCGCTGTCGATGATGGAGAATGCGTCGAGCGTACAAACAAATCCCCGAACAGCGATGCTGCCAACGCCCAGCAGATTGCGCTTCCTGTGGCCCAAGAGGACTACCCTCAGGGGCCTTTTCTACTGCTCTGTCATGTGCCCAGGGGGGTGTCAGAGCAATTTATACTCAGTGCAGCTTGCAAGTCCGGCTTTCGCAACTACAAGGCCCTTTCTTGGGAAGACGCGTGGCAAAAGAGCTTCGATCCTTCGTGCCTATCAGACAAAGCAGGAGCAGGTTTCGAGTCTAGCAAGGGCTCGGACAATGCCTTGATTAGAGCACCATATCCAGGTGATGCCGGAATCGAGGCATTGCCCAGTTGCTTGAGATTGCTATGGTTCTGGTAATTGCTTTTTCGAACCTTTTTCCCAACTATTTTTGTTCGTAGTTCGAAAACTCAATAAAATATGAAGTGATAATTGACTCGAGGTATACCTTTAACTAAGTGCGGCTCTACTCGGTAGCTTGGAAGGAGGAGGAGAAACGTGTGCACAATGAATGGGGTTGCAGTTTGCTGACTATGCATCACCAACTTTTTTTTTTTTTTTTTTTTTTTTTGGTCAAAGGG